GGTATTTAAACCACTATTCACCTCTTATATAGCCTTGCTAACGAGACCGGTTCTAAAGAACCACGTGATATACACCAGGTATTCGAATGAAAACCTTGTAATTCCGAAAAAGTAACTTATTATCACACCGAGTAGAAATTGATTTCTGTCTAATTCGTTCCTCAAACGAAAGAAATCATATTGTGCATTGAGTTTACATTCGTCACCAAGTCCCACAGAATCTATAGAATATATGAAAATGTAAAATGAATGAATGAGAACCGATTTTACATACTTAATCAAGCGATCTTGTCTTGTAGTTCATAGCCATCATTAAAGTAATAGCAATAATTAATTGCTATTTTTTAAACTTACAATTTAGACATTCATTCTGAAAGTCGATGAAGTCTTCTTCACATGCATATGCAAACATTTAAGGAACATTTTGATGCGTGCTTCGTTCCATTACATTGGACGTCTTCTTCACAGTGTTCATGAAGGCGTCTGTTTTCTGATTTTTTTTTTAATGAACCAGATTGTAAACATGTTTAGTACAAATAAACTAAATATTTCAAAGTTTTTTTTTTCATTTTTAACATCATTGATTCGTGTATGTGTAATGAAACTAAGTTTAAACATGTTAAATCAAACTTCGTAATTTTGAACTAAATTGTATTGATATGAACAAAACGTAAACATATGAAATATATGGATACAACGAAAAGTATTCAAGATCAAAAGTTCATCATGAATACAAATCAGGAGCAGAACAAACACGTACCACAAAAGGATCAGAGATGGGATCAGGTAAAACGGAGATGTGAGCATCCCCCGCCAACAGATCACACTCGCCGTCATGACCAGGAAATAACAGAAAATAATCGGTAACAATTCAGTAAGTAAAAAAAGGCATCATAATTAGTATGAAAAACGTCAGTCAGAAATTGACTTAATAAAACATTATACTTGCAGGCAGGTCCATTGTATATACCATAAAATTTGGGAAATGGTTAATTAAAACGTAGCTGCTTTTGTTTTTATTTCAATAACTTGTTTGTTAACAAACTACTTTGATTTAGGTACAGTGTGTTATGGGTCAGAATAACCCTAAATGCCAGCAAAGATCAATAACACAATTTAAGCTTAACAATAATTTATTTACAGTAATATATAATAAGTATATGAAACATAAAGTACAAACTTAGCAAGAATCTAAAAATACATACATCAGAGTATCCGTTGCTGCACACAATGTCCCAGTGAAAATATATCCCATTTATATCTCAATAGTGCTTATACGACAAAGTATCTTTATGCATCGAATTGACAGGGTATTTATACAGTATTATAAATCTAGAATATTCTAGAAATTGTAAATACATGATATTCCTGGAAAGTTCTAGACATAAACAAAGTTCAAGAATGTTCTAGAAAAAATGACCAAACATATTGACCACTCTGGAATGCTCAAGAAACTTAATGTTACTAATAATATACAAGATGAAACAATACACATCTCACAACACCTCCCCCCTTAAAAAGTTTGAATGTCAATGAAAACTTATATTATCAAAACATAGGTACATTAATACAAAATCTAGTATGTTTACGATACTCTTGACAAGGCATCTGCTATAACATTGTCTTTGCCTTTGATATGTTTAATTGTTATGTTGTATTCTTGTAACAACAAACTCCATCTAGTCAGTCTTTGATTCTTGTTTGACAATTTATGCAAAAATGTCAGGGGGTTGTGATCCGTATATACAAGAATTGGATGCAAAGTAACATTCAGATAAACATCAAAATGCTGTAAGGCTAACAACAAAGCAAGGCATTCCTTTTCAATGGTGGAATACTTTTGTTGACATTTAGTAAGTTTCTTTGAAAAATAAGAAACAACTCTATCTACCTTATCACTATGTTCTTGAAACAAAGCTGCCCCGATTCCAACATCACTAGCTTCAACAGTAAGCTTAAATTGCTTAGAAAAATCTGGAGTTGACAGAACTGGGTTGCTCATAAGGACAGATTTGATTTTATGAAAGGATTTTTCACAGTCTTTTGTCCATTCAAAGTTAACCCTCTTCTGCAAAAGATTTGTAAGCGGACTAACTACTGAGGAAAAATTTGGACAAAATTTTCTGTAAAACCCAGCCATGCCCAAAAACCTCATTAACTCTTTCTTGTTTGTAGGAATCGGGAACTTTGCAATAGCTTCCACTTTAGCCATAATTGGTGTAACATAACCTTGACCTACTTTACGACCTAAATACTCTACATAAGCATGACAAAATTCGCTCTTCTCAAGGTTCACAGTTAAGTTTGCTTTAGCTAAAATGTCAAATAAAGCACGCATGATTCGGATATGTTCGTCCCATGTGTTGCTGTATATGATGACATCATCAATGTAGGCCTCGCAACCCTCGAGGTTTTGAAGAAGGGAGTGAATCATCCTTTGGAATGTAGCCGGTGCGTTTTTCATGCCAAAAGGCATTACTTTATACTGGTAAAGTCCATCTGGTGTAGCAAAAGCAGATATTTCTTTTGCTCTTTCTGTTAACGGTCCTTGCCAGTAGCCTTTCAACAGGTCAAATTTACTGACAAATTTCGCGTTTCCAATGTTGTCAATACAGTCATCGATTCTAGGTATTGGATATGAATCGGTTTTGGTAACAGAATTCACCTTTCTAAAGTCTGTACATAATCGGTACGAACCGTCCTGTTTTGGTACAAGAATACACGGTGAGCTCCAATCACTTTTACTAGGTTCAACAATGTCATTGTCCAACATGTACTGCACTTCCCTTCTTAGGTACTGCAATTTTATTGGATTAAGACGGTACGGATGTTGTTTGATAGGCAGAGCGTCACCCACTATGACATCATGATAAGTTGCATTAGTTTTCTTTGGAACATCCGAAAAGATTTGATGATACTCACTCGTCAAGTTTTTAACTTGTTCTTTTTGGTGAATGTTCAAATGTCCAAGTTTAGCATCCAAATTAGCCAAAACTTCTGAGTTTTTCAAACGGACACTCTGATTACAATCTTTCTCATTCATTTCTACACTCGTATCACTTTCAATACAATTTTGAACAGTCTTAGCATTGGCTAAAGTGGAAACTGGTTTTACAGAATTTCGGTCACACCTTTCAAAATACTCTTTTAACATGTTAATGTGACAAACCCGTTTCTCTTTACGTCGACCTGGTGTCTTAACTACATAGTTTACATCACTGATCTTGCTTTCAATTTCATAAGGGCCATAAAATCTGGCCTGTAAAGGATGACCAGGAATAGGTAAAAATACAAGAACCTTATCACCTGGCTTAAACACCCTATTTCTGGCATCTTTGTCATACCACATTTTCATTTTCCTCTGAGAACTCTTCAAATTTTCTTGTGCTAATTTACAAGCATTGTAAAGTTTTTCTTTGAAATCAGACACATAATCTAAAAGATTAAGATCACTAGTCTCAGTCAGCCACTTTTCCTTCAACAATTTCAAAGGACCTCTAACTGTATGTCCGAACACCAATTCAAAAGGACTGAACCCAAGAGACTCCTGGACTGCTTCTCGTGCAGCAAATAGCACAAGATGAACCCCTTCATCCCATTCTTTTTCATACTGGTAACAATAGGTCTTCAGCATTGTTTTTAGGGTTTGATGAAAACGTTCTAGCGCTCCCTGGGACTCAGGATGATAAGCAGTTGATCTATACTGCCTAATACCCAACTCATGCATGACTTGCTGGAACAACCCCGACATAAAATTTGAGCCTTGATCCGACTGAATTGCCTTGGGTGCTCCTACAAAACTGAAAAACTTGGTTAGGGCCTTAACTATGCTCTTTGCCTTTATATTCCTAAGAGGTATGGCTTCAGGAAACCGAGTGGATGTACACATAATGGTAAGTAAATACTGGTTTCCAGATCTGGTCCTAGGCAAAGGTCCTACACAATCCACCAACACTCGACTAAACGGTTCTTCAAAAGCTGGAATTGGTTGGAGAGGGGCGGATGGTATCTTCTGATTCGGTTTACCTACCATCTGACAGACATGACACGACTTACAAAACTCAGAAACATCCTTCCTTAGCTTAGGCCAATAAAAATGACTCAAAATCCTATTATAAGTCTTATTGATACCTAAATGACCAGCCATAGGTGTATCGTGAGCTAAACTCATGACATCTCGACGATAAGCAGCTGGGACCACTATCTGGTGAGCAACACGCCACACTTCATCTGGGGAAGCGTCAGGTGGTCGCCATTTTCGCATAAGGATGCCATCTTTCATATAGAAGCATTCTCCAACTTTAGTAGCCTCTTCTGGTGGAAGTGCCCTCTTACTAAGTTGAATGATATCTGGGTCTTTATGTTGTTCAGAGAGTAAACGTTCTCGGCTGAGGATGTCCTTGCCTTGGCTAACTATTGGATGCAACTCATCATCCTCACCACCAAATTTTGGTAACAGTTCTTTCTTCTCTTGCTTCTTGATATTGTGTGGTTCCATGCTTGTTTGAGTGCCATCAAAGTCAGATAAGAAAGTGTCATTCAAATCAATATCAACAGAGGAATTCGTCTCGTCAAAGGCTTGAGTATGGTCTGCCTCCATTTCTCGTCTTCTGGCCATCGCTCTAGTAACAGCACAGGCTGGATAAATGTCATCATCTTCATCATCGCACATGACATCTGGAGTGATTTTCTCACAAACTATAGGATCTGGTACAACTTTTCCACCAGCTAAATCGTTGCCTAGCAACAAAGAAAATGCCTGGAACAGGAAGAGTAGGTCGAACACCTACGATAACAGGTCCAGTAACTAAATCTGACTTCAAACTAATTCTATGCAGGGGAACATCAATGACGCCTAGCTCCACACCCTGTAATAAAACTGACCCACCAGTAGAAGTCTGCTCAGACAAAGGAAGCACGCCCTCTAACAATAACGTCTGTGCAGCACCAGTATCTCTCAAAATCTGGACAGGTTTTATTTCGCTAGAGTCACCGAGTGAAACAAATCCCTGAGACATAAAGGGCTTATAATCCTCCATAGAATCAATAGAACTGGACTGTGAACCCTGGACATCAGGAGTGTCAGAACAAATCGAAACTAAGGCTTCTCTATCTCCTCTAACTGCCGCACAAGCATGTAGTTGAGTTTTATCAAAGTCATTTTTTCTCTTAAGTTTAAAGCATTCACTGATCAGATGACCTTTTTTCTTACAATAATACAAGTAGGAAGCGACCCTATTCCAGAAGATCCTTCAAAACGTCCTGGACCGGACTTAGAACCACCTTGGGATGGAGACTGGGAACTTGTGAAAGACTGAGACCCTGAACCACTCTTTTTATATGTGTCTGAATTTGTAGAATTACTGCTAGTCTGAGATCTTGATACAAAATTCTTTTTATGAGACAGAGCATAAGTATCAGATATGACTGCTGCCTCTTCAAGAGTTTTAACATTCTTATCTTCTAGATGTGTTTTCAAATCTTGAGTAACACATTCCTTAAACTCTTCTACCAGGATGACTTGGCGCAAATTAGCAAAAGCTTTATCAAGTTTCTTAGATCTAGACCAGTGATCGAATAAATCTTCTTTCTCTCGTGAAAATTCAACAAATGTTTGATTATCAAACTTTCTATACTTTCTGAACTTTTGTCTATACGCTTCAGGTACTAATTCATATGCTTTTAATATTGCTGCTTTGACCTTCTCATAGTCTGAACTTTCAGCTACCCCTAGTGCAGAGTATACCTCAGCTGCTTTGCCAACCAGTACACTTTGTAACATTGTTGACCAAACGTGTTGTGGCCATTTAAGATTTTCTGCGACTTTTTCGAATTGGGGAAAATACTTGTCTACAGATTTTTCTTGAAATTTCGGAACTAACCTAATATTTTTTGCTGCATCAAATTCATTCTTGACAAATGAGGGTTCTGGTTTATGCTGTAATCTTAATTTCTCTAACTCAAAGTGCTCTTGTCTTTCTAATTTGTCTAATTCAAATTTCCGTTCACGCTCTCGTTCTTCTCTTTCTCTTTCTCGGTCTCTTTCTCGCTCTTCTCTTTCTAATTTTTCTCTTTCAAATCGCATTTTCTCTAACTCTAGTTGAAACTGATAGTCTGCCATTTTATAAGAGCCTAACTCTGATCTTACTGTATATTCTGAAAGATCGTATTTTTCAAAAATGTTTTCTTCTACTAGTTTGTTTGCAACCTTAATTCTAATGTCTTGCTTTCTCTGAGAGGATTTAACATCTAACCCAAAATGCAAACCTAATGCGATCAAGTCATCCTTTTTTAACGTATCAAAAACCTGAACACTTGGTGAACTTAGAAAGTCTGTGACCGAAAACACCATGTTGATTTCTGCTGGCTTATAATCAAATTTAACGGTTCAATAAACAAAATTCTGACAATAAACTGCAAAAGTGCAAGAAATTCTTTATCCCGGACGAGCCCCCAATTCTGTTATGGGTCAGAATAACCCTAAATGCCAGCAAAGATCAATAACACAATTTAAACTTAACAATAATTTATTTACAGTAATATATAATAAGTATATGAAACATAAAGTACAAACTTAGCAAGAATCTAAAAATACATACATCAGAGTGTCCGTTGCTGCACACAATGTCCCAGTGAAAATATATCCCATTTATATCTCAATAGTGCTTATACGACAAAGTATCTTTATGCATCGAATTGACAGGGTATTTATACAGTATTATAAATCTAGAATATTCTAGAAATTGTAAATACATGATATTCCTGGAAAGTTCTAGACATAAACAAAGTTCAAGAATGTTCTAGAAAAAATGACCAAACATATTGACCACTCTGGAATGCTCAAGAAACTTAATGTTACTAATAATATACAAGATGAAACAATACACATCTCACAACAAGTGTACATATATATTTTTCATATGTATAGCATTCTATTACGTATCAAATCAACTGACGGATATGAACCCCGTTTGTAGGTGATAAGGGCATATTGTTGTATAAATAAGGGAAATTGACGATTGAAAGTTAAACTCATCAGGTTTATTTTTAAGCTTTATTGTTAGATTACGTTTAACGTCTTTTTCTTGTAATGAAGGATATAGAGATAACAAACAGTATTCAATATCAAAGTTCATAAAACAATTAAAATTTGGAGTCCATAAATAATTCAAATATGAAACAGATCTCTGAAGTATGTTTTATTTCAAGCTAATCGAGATACATCATGTCAACATAAAAATGGAAATAAACATCTTTTAAATCTAAGGATTTGATATATCAGTGGTAAAATACTTAGAAAAATAGGAATTTAGGAGTTCCAAATTACATTGACATATCCATGATTTTCAAGATATAAGTTATAATAAAAAGAATATTTCTTTTGATCAACTTTTTTCCTCTAATTTGTTCTTCAAGATCTTTTAAGATTCGTAGTTTGAATCCTACAAACTGACATACCTTGTAGACATCGATTTGCAAACTCCGTAAAGCCATCATTACAATGACACTTCCCATGGTTATATTCATAGTTTTCTGGATTTCTACAAATTCCGCCGTTTGGAGTTCCAGTACAATCCTCATTTGTTTGGCATGCGTCACCAAGAAACCTTTTCCCTGAACAAAAACCTTTAATTTAATTAAAAGTTTTATGCAGGTAAGCAGTATCTGACGTCTACGAAAACCAGTAGGTGCAAGGAAAAAATATTTTACCTGGCGGCCGCTAGAAATTTATATTGCGGTAGTGATTTTTTTCTTGCCGTCAAATTGCAATCCTCTCCCACATTCGTATACAAGTACATGTATTAAAAGTTATTTAAGTAGTAGTTTTTTGTAAAGTAACTTTCTGTTGTCATATTTTATCTAATTGTGTGTTGTGGGAAAGGAGGGAGAATGATTATCATGTCACCAATTGCAAGAACGAAGTCGGGGAACGCATTGCTATGATACGCCAGAAGACGATTCCTGGGGACTTTTTTGCAGAGGCTGGGACAATGTTGCTGAAACTTTTCATAAAAAGATGATGACTAGCTGTGTTTGCTTAGAAAATAAATATCAATTTCAACATGGCTACTTTTGCCAAGGAAACATACGAAAAAGGAAGAATTTTGTCTAGAAGTGTTCTAGGTGATTCCCTAGATAATAGTTGCTATCTTTATAGAAATGATAAACTGTAATTGTAGTTGTGCAGATGGCGTTTAAACTTTCAATCCACCCGTCATGGACAGAAGGAAAGTAAAAAATACTAAACTTCGATTTTCTCATAAACTGCTCAGGCAATTCATTGAATCGAAAATTTTAAGGATTGTTCCTAACATTCTGTCAGAGTAAATTTTGTTTTAAAGGGGCATGGACACAGTTTCAACTGAATTGTTTTTTACCAATTCTAATTTTTACAATTCCTAACTAAGGCAATTCTAAAGATCAGCAAACTTTGAACATCATTTGTTGATTTACAAAGGAGATACAGGAGAATTCTTCATAATGTAAACAGGGCTCGTGACTTGTTTTTGTTTACATTTAGAAAATATCATGTTTATAACAAAACGAGATTCAGCAAGTCATTAGAAAATGTTTGATTTTATTAAGAATTAACTTTTATATTGAAAAATCTGCTTTGACGAACATATATCAGTATGTTAAACCTACGTAAACAAAAACATCACTCGGGTCTTGTTTACATGATATAGGTTTGGAGCTCTAAATCTGTATTGTAACTCGACAACTGAAATTCAAAAATTTGCTGATCATTAGAAATACTTAGTTAAGTATTTGTAAACATAAAAAATGGTATGAAAATTTTTGGATGAAACTGCATGTGTCCAGGCCCCTTTCAATACTAAAATCTTCTACAGACTGTTGCCTTATGATTGAAAGAAAGAGGAAATGTTAAAATGAGGACAAACTTTTTTCAGGAGGCTTGGAAATATGATGAACCTTTGCAAAAATTATGGTTAGAAACTTTTTTATTCAGTCAATATTAAAAAGTTTCTAGCTGCCTTCCGTTGCCATGGAAACAAGATTGTTTTTACATTCATTTTTCTCTGTAACTTCCAAAGCCATATTTTCAGAATTTCTCTTAGTTTAATTCTTTCAATGTATAACAGTGGTTTCTGCATAAAATGGAATTGATGTTCAGCGGAATGAATTCGGCATAATATTTTTTCTATTCGTTTCCTTTTGACTTGTATCAAGCGTCCTCATAGAAGGCCCAGAAAATCTGTTTGAAACATCACACAAATAGAGGTCATTACATACAGTTTTGCGGTAATGTATTACATTTTCAAATGATGCTTATTCAAAAACTGAAAAATTCATATTTTCAGTTTTATGATATGAGCTCACAAAAAAGGTTGTATAAACTTCTAAGCTTGATCTTTTTAACTTAAAATGATAAATTATTCAATTCCTTTGTTTTCCTCATTTCGTTTTACACATTTTTTGCTAACTAGGGTACATGAAGGTTAATCTATTATGCTTATATATGATACCAATTTCTTGATGTAATTAAGAAGAAATAATTTATCTTCACATTTCGAAAAAAAAAGGTTCTTAAACACTTTTCATTTTAATTTCATTTAAGTAGTTCACGGGAACTAAATTGCAGCAATTAGCATAAAATAAAACATCTCTGGTGATAGAAAGGAGACGAAAAACCTTCCTTATGCCATAGAAAATACATTCTTTTAAATAAAAAATGCGGTTTATGGTAAAAATCTTGTGGACATGTTTTATTTCCTCTTTTGAAATATAGAACGTCAGAACACCCTTCTTTTAGAGACAGCTAGGTCAATTTACAGATACATGTACATAATATCTAATTTAAAAAATCTTAGGAGTTTCATGAATAAAATTAAGTTCCGCTGATATCATCAGATAATTTTGCAGCATTCAGTTTCTTCTGTTTTTTCTATATAATTCATAATAATTTTATTTTACAATTAAATTATCTTTAAAAATTGTAATAAGTGGCGATCGTAAGTTTCATTCATTTGCGCTTCAAAATAATAAAGAACAATGTAGGATATTGGCCGAATCTGGCCCCTTTATTAGATGAAAAATCAGAACTCTGGTAAAATTGTGATACTTTGTATGTCAGAATTTTAAATGGTGCTTGCTTTAAAATCAGTACTTATTTGGATTCAAGGCTTGCATGGAGGTCACAAGAGGGTGTAGAAGTAAGACATTTTCCTGAATTACTTCAATTCTGGTAAAATTTCATCATATTTGAGACACTTTTCTCTTCGGAAAACATACAGCATACGCTTGCCTATGTACGATTTTTACACATAAACTGTATTTTGTACTAGTGTATAAAGTATATTAAGTTTAGTAGATATGAAAGCTTGTTCTATATGTCTTCCGAAACAAAATATAATGTAAAATCGATGAAAATAAGCATAAAAAATGAGAAAATTCGAAAATTGATCTATTTTCTTACCTTTCTGTGTATTCTAAATCTTAGATCAAATACTCATTTGGTGGCAGGGATGACAGCAGGTTTTTATTGATAAACTATTGCATCATTCTAAAAGACACCCAAACTCGGGGCTTAATAGGGTTTAAGTCTATCTTGTCGTTTAATTTCCATATCTTATTCATTGAAAATCTTGGAAACCGCCCCCTGCGCGCGGTCCCCGAAAAATTGAGCACGATTCTGCTAACTAAGAAACTTTACACATACTTTATCGTCTCATAAAAGAGATCACCCCACCGCCCTCCATCAAATGCAGAAATGCCTAAATTGAAGTGGAAAATTCAGGAATTATTTTCATTCAGCCATCCATGTTTTGACTTGAATCAGTGCTCCACTTTTACTTCCCGTAACTTTTTTTCAATCAGATTAAAGGTAGACTGTAATGTATACATATGAATGTGAAAGGTTGGATTTGGGCGGGGAATATTTTTCTACTAATACACTGTACTCACTTATTCAAGGATTGAAGAATCTTACAGCATATAGTTTAAATTGGAAATGACAGTGCTTGCAAGATTTTCTACTTATAATCATTTTGTTTATTTTTTTCATATTTTTTTTTTTTTGGAAATTTTCAAATTTGTTCTTTAATGTAAACCATATTAAATTAAAAAAACTCATTACACTGACTAGTTTTGTTATTATAGCTTCAATGTTAATTTCTTTTCGAATACATTATGTATGGGATATTATGAATTAGAAGGTACTGTTAACTAAACTTTATTAACGTTAGTTTGATTATTATTATATGATTTTACGCGAGAATATTTCTTGTCATAAAATGGTCATATGTTTTACCTCAAGAATTTATTGCTACAGTAACTTGTTTTTTGTCTTACCTTTCCTAAGGTCACACAGTAAGTACATCTCTGTTTTCTGATTATGGATGAATTCAGCTCCACAAGAATAATGCTTTATTTTAAACTGGTTTCTATCAATGTCGCCAGCAAATGTTGCATATACATGTACTTGGGAGACACTGATATTGTGAATATTTGCATTGTGCCATTTGTTTTCTACTGATATGATAATCCCACAAGCTGTGTTACATGATGAAAAATTAGAATCTGTAAAATATCGATAATTGTTTGGACATAGTTAGAATATTTTCTAAATAATATCTCCATACCTCGAACTATGAAATTAAAAAAACCAGGAAACTGAAATTCACAACTTCGTGAATCTCGTATAAAGGATTCTATTTCCCCATAACAATATTTGCTGTAAAAAAAATTCAATGGTTGTGACAAAATACATTTTCTGCAGCAAAAAGGCATAATTTTGCAAGTAATAATTTAACTGGCAAACTAAATATTTAACACAGAAAAAACTTTTGAGTAGTAAAGTTGTTTGATTGTTGAATTCGTTTTATCTTTAAACCTTAAAATCAATTAACAAGTTGCTTACAAGTTACGAATGTGTAATTACTCAACCTTTTTGCTAAAAAGCATGAAGTGTGAGTTTCATATGTTTTCGAGTGTATCTTTTCATTTATTTAAATCTCCATGTGTTCTCAATCTTTAGTTGGTTACGAAAAACAGAAAAAAAGTTTGGTTAAAATGCCGTGTATGTCCACAAAACAATGTGCAAATGGAGTTGACATGGTCCAAGCTAGTGTTAGTAAAGAGGAGTTGTATTTTCTTCCCCTGTATTTGTTTATATTACTTAAAACCTTTAAAAATACCGTCAGAAAGTTGAACAAAGCTTACCTAAATTTCTTACAATCATTAAAATCGCTAGATTTTCAACAAATACCACTAAACCATCCTAGGGTTTATCCGGAAATTCACTTAAACCGGAACCGGATGTTCCTATGGTCAAGGCGTATACACGTACTGCAACGACACATCAACAGGGCTATTGCATAAGAATTACTCACTATTGTGGAAGGAGCCTAACAGCACGTGCAATTGCTCTGCACTCATTAAAAATTGATTGAAGTCTCCATAATTATCCAAATTCTAAGAAACAAACTGGGAGGGTGGGGAATGCGTGTAAGGAGACCTTATGTAGGCTAAATATTGTCGGGTTCAAACAATTTCGGTAAGCTTCAATGTTATCCACATCTCAAACCTATAGAACATGAATGGGACACGATGGACCGCAGAGTGAGAGCTTTTTCCAGCAGCAGAATCTAGCGTATCTATAGAGAACGACCTAGTCAATACATGGAATAACCTTTAATAAAGATTTTTCTTTAATAGTGTGAACTCATTGAGAAGCAGTTGCCTTGCTCTTAATTCGTTTGAATGGAGAATA